AAAAAAAGCCTGGCTAGAACTTTGACCAGCATTAAATAACCCAGCCCCTGCACTGATGGAAGCTGCAGTGTTGGAAGCTGTTCCTGTAAGGAAAACATATTAGCTTCCTTATAGCTAGTTAAAAGGACTGAATCTTGCCTTCCCTTGTTTTTTCTAGTACTGTAGTTTGCTAAGTCCAAGTCTGTTTACAATTTGCTTTTAAGAACAAGTGGTTCAATGTTCTTAAAATATCCATGCCTGCAGTTTAGTACTAATAAGCACATCTGAAACAAAGCGCAGCGTGTCTGTCTGCATTTGTGTGCATGTATTTCTGGACTTTAAAAGTTACAGATTCCAGAAGATGATAAAAATAACAAGGATGTTTTCTAAATAACAAAAAGTGTTTTGTGGAGGCAGGACTAGCCAAAGGTGTCATTAGGCATTGCAGTGACTTGGGCATGACAGAGGTGGGGGGAAGTGCCAAAAGTTGGGGAATCAAGGAACAAATCTTACCCCCCATCCTGCACCCTGGGCTGCAGCTGCTATAGCATAAGCCACTTCTGCTGTAGCCCAGGTGCCTTGGACTGGCGGCTGCACCACAGCACAGGGCCCCCAGAGGCTGCTGTTTTTGGCACCTCCCGCCCCTCCTAAATTGGTGCCCAGGGTGGCATCTCACTTGCCCATAACTAGTTATGCCACTGGCATTCTCTAATTTAGTCTACAGTACCAAGATCTGCACGCATAGCTATTCTGGTATGAAACTAACAGATCTTTGCCAGCAAATCCCCCTGTTTAGACACGAGGTCTGTTAGCAAAAGACTACTTTGTGCATATATGGCTTACACTGCTGATAACTATACCAGCAAAAGAACTCCTTTGGCTTATGTTTCTTGCAGTTGCAGGGGCCTTGCAATGCATTATTAGCATAGATTAGTCTTCAGCTACTTTTGCTAGGAAAACCAATTGACTTTAGATTCTCTGAGCAAACCATAATGGTGCCCACTCTCACAAGACTGCGTTTTTTAAACTCCCTTTTACATGGCTCTTGGGCAAGCCAGGAGCTGTAGTTCACAGGACCAGGCAGCAGGATGGGGGTGGAGGTAGGGGTAGGGTTGGGGCAGGGGTGGCATAGCAGCTAGATTCGGCTTCCCAGCAGCCCCCACAGTCCAGGAGCAGATGTGTGCCCCACCACTGTTGCCACTGGACCCTGGTCCCGCTGCCTGGGCACCCTGACCCATCTACCCTGCACCCACTGCCAGGGGTGCTGAACAGAGTGGGTGGGTGGGCAGGGTCTCCACAGAGACCTTCCCGGGACCGCCACCGGCAGGGCACACTTGGCCGGGTGGATAGGATAGGGTAATGGGTGGTTGGGGAGCAGCATCTGGGAGCAAGACAGGCGGCTGGGGCCAGGGCTGGGACCAAGATCATGGGGTAGTATAACAGGGGGCCTTCTTGGGGCTGATCTAACTGTGGCCCACCCACCTGTTTCTGGGCAAACCACCCACCTGCTCACCCACCACGCTTTGTTGTAATTAATTAATGATGTAATTAAGCGGGAGGCTGCCCATTTCCTGCCCCGATGCCAGGGGGCGCTATCTGTGTCTCCATGCCTCCCCTACACTGCTGCCCAAGCCTCGCAGATGGTATCTCGATGTTATCATCATCACCAGCCCCCGCACTGGGCCCCAGAATCCTCCTAATTGAACCCCACCTGGATTCCTCCCCTCAGGCAGCTTCTTCTGCCGTCACACCAGGCA